GACAGCTTCTCACCCTGGAGTTGCCTCTGCCCTAGGGCCCCCTCTCTCTTGATTGTGAGGTCCCTAACCCAGACCACCATTTCAGGAGGGCCCAAGGCCACATTTGCTTCACTCCCAGCTCCACTGGTCACTCTCCAGATTTCTCTACTTCCTCACCAGCAGCCTTCTACCCAAAAGGGCAGCCTTTCCTTTATGTGGTGGTGTCTTCTCTCATCAGAATGTAAGCTCCTTGAAGGCAGAGTTTGCCTTTCTTTTTGCTCCCACATGGGGTGGGGGGAAGACACAGCATCCTGAGATCTGGAAAATCCAGTAAAATTTTTTGGCCCTCCCCTTGTACCAGAGAAGAAGCATGACTTATTATGGTGTTAAAAGATAAAATACGTTTATATTCTACAATACTATACATATATTTTATGCATTTCTGAGTTTCTAACCATTTTCTGTGTTGTCTGCTGGCCTTTGTGTGTCCTCTGCAACTTCCGCAAAACTCCCCAAAAATTTCTGTTTAATTTTTCATGTGACCCGTGATATATCAAAACTGTCATGGGGAAAGTTATGATGTGGAAAGATAACAGTATTTGTATCCCCCATGCTTAGCCCAGTGCCCAGCACCCAGGAAACGTTTAATTTTGTCTCTCTACTGGAGGGAAACAACACATACACAGAAATTTATTACAAAATAAACAAAGCACTTGGTGGGGGGAGGGAACAAGCATTAAGCACCTACTATGTGCCAGGCACTGTGCTAATAAGCACTTTACAATTATCTCTTTTGATCCTCACAACAACCCTGGGAAGCAGAAGCTGTCATTAAGAGAATTCTATGAGGAAGGGAGTGGGGTGGGAAGGGCATGCATGGAGGGGGTCAGCCTATGCAAAGGAGGACAGGTAAGAGATAGAATGCTGTTTGTGAGGAACAGAAAGAAGGCCAGTTTGTCTGGATTGTAGAGTCAGTCCCTAAAGGAGACTGATGTGTGATGAGGCTAGAAAGGTGGGACAGAGCCAGCCTGAACAGAGAACTTTGTATTTTAACTCACAGATAAGGGAGCCCCTGAAGCTTCCTGAGCAGAGTGGCACAGTCAGAACCGAGCTTCAGAAAGGTGATCTTGGCAGCCATGCCAAGGGTGGATTAGAGAGAAAAGAGGCTGGTTACAAGACGAAGTCAGAAGTGCAGGGGAGGGGCAGCTAGGTGGCACAGTGGATAGAGCACCGGCCCTGAAGTCAGGAGGACCTGAGTTCAAAGCCGGCCTCAGACCAAACACTTGACACTCGCTAGCTGTGTGGCGCTGGACAAGTCACTTAACCCCGATTGCCTAAAAAAAAAAAAAAGACAGGGGAAAGGGCATGGGAGAGTGGCCATGATGGAAGTGGGGCGGAGACAGCTCCCAGATACCCTGCGGAGGGAGATTGAGCCAGACTTGGTAACCAACTTCAAGCAAGGGCTGAGGGGCAGGGGAGGGGTGAAGATGACACAGGTTATCAAACAGAGACTCATGGCTGGCCTCTAACAGAATCGGAGGAAAGTGGAGGAGGACCCCAAGACTGGGAGCCTGGGCCACCAGGAGGATGGAGGTGCTCCCACCTGGAAGGGGGATGTCAGGCGACGCTTAGGAAGAAGCTTTTGTGCTCTGTTCTGGACACCCACCAAAAGAGCCGGGGAAGGAGCCACCCATTCAACACATGGAATCTGAGTTGGAGGGGACCTAAGAGGCCACGTGAACCACTGGGGAGCGGCACGCCAGACTGCACCTGGATCTAGGAGAAAAGAATCACTTCCTCACAGGGTCCCCATCTTTCCAAACTCAGCAAACAGCTCTCCTTTCCCAGGTCCACACTAGAATGCCATCTCATTGGTTCCCTCACCCTTTGGGGGTCAAAATGTGTTTCTGTTCAATTTCCTCTTTCCTTCATTCTGCCCAACATTCTGAGCTGTCAAGAGTGTTCCAGATCCTGGCTCTGAACTCTCTTCCATTACTTTTCCCTAGCCATGTCATCTCCCCATTAGAGGGTTTCACTTTGTCTTTGTATGGCCAGCACCTGACACATAGTAAGTGCTTAATAAATGTAGTGTCAGGGCTGTCATATGGAGGAAGGAACAGCCTTGTTCTGCTCAGCTCATGGAGAAGAGGAGTTGCAGGAAGGCCGACTGAGGCTGGTGTCAGGAAAACTTCCTCCCAACATGGGATCTCCTCATTAAAGGGCTTTTGGCCTAGGCCCCTGACAGATCATGGGATCATGGACAGAGGCTTCCAACCTACAGAAGAAAATAATCCATTCATAGACACCAAAGACATGTGAGTGGCCCCAGGCTCTGACTCATGCTTGGGCTCAGCTGACCTACTGCTCCTTGGCTCCCTGCCAGAGGCTTCCCAGAGGAGCCCAATGGTGGCTTGGTCTCTGCTAGGTGAACTGGGGGACGACTGCCCTGAGAACACGCCACGGCCAGGCACATGGTGAGTAGGTCTGCCTGTTCCCAGAGGGCTGCACTGTGACCAGAGCTCTAGGCCTGGAGTCAGGAAGACCCTCATTCAAATCTAACCTCAGATCCTCACTAGCTATGTGACTCAAAGCAAGTCATTTCACCTGTTTGCCTCAGTTTCCTCAACTGTAAAAGGGGAATAATAATAACAACTACATTCCAGGGCTGTTGTGAGGATCAAAGGAGATACTATTTGTAAAGAAAAAAAGTGCTTAGCACAGTGCCTGGCACATAGGAGGTACTCTATAAACTGCTGGTCCACCCCGTCTCACCTCTCAGCCTGAGGTTCACAGGCCCCTGTCACCCTGGCCATGGCCCACACCATCATTTTTCCCAGCTCCCCTGTTCTAATCATCCATTAACAGAGTAGCTTCTCAAGGTTTGAGAATTAGAGTGTGTGCAAAGCTGTGAACACTAGATTAACACTGTTAATCTGCTAGATTACTTTCCACAAGACAATCGGTAATTCACGAAGGGGCAAGGGTCACCGGAGCACCCTCAAACTGCTCCGGTCTCCATTCCCAGCTTTGCCCCCTCCCTGCCCCGTCTCCCTCCTTCCCCCTTCTAAATGGTCAAAAAATAAAGACCAGGAGGAGGAAGGAGAAGGGCTAGAACACGCGCAACCCTGTAAGCTTGGCACCCGCAGCTCCGTCACCACACACTCTGGGACGGCAGCTGATCTCTTAGGGTCCGCAGCACCTTTTACTAAAGTACTTCTCAGTTCCCTCTAACTGTGTTTTTCATTCAAAAGAATCACGCCTGAGCCATTGGCTGCTTCCTTCTCTTGCAAAGAAAGGAGCCAAGTTCAGCTGCTCGGCATCTGGGGCCCCAGACACAGCCAGGCATCCTCAAGTCAGCGCCCGGGGCCAGAGCTCTCCACGGACAAAGGCTGGCCTCCAGCTGCAAAGCTCAGATACAAAGGCTCCCTGAGCTCCCCAAGGACCCCGCCCCCATCCCCAAATGGGCCTGCGCAGAGCTCCGTGCCGGGAGGAAGCCTCACAGACCCCGCGATCAGGGGTCAGGGTGAACAAAGCTCAGAGCGGCCGAGGAAGCAGCTGAGCCATCCAAACGAAGACAGGAAATCAGGCCCTGCCGCAACACCCAGAACAAAGGCATCCTTGGAAAAGGAGCTAGGGGCTCCGGGAGGATGCCCCACTGCAGCTCCCACGTCCCGGGGCCAGATGGTTCAGGCAGCACTACCGCCTTGCCACATCTCCCCCAAGCAGCACACAACAGAATCACTGGGGGTGCTGCCCATCTCCTTGCCCCACCTAGGCCCCACACAGCCCGCCTCTCCGGGACCATCCCACAGGACTGAGCAGCCCCGCCCGTGGGTGCCACATAGGGGATGCCACTTGGAAACACTTCACAGATGGCAGCCCAGCTGGCCCAGAGGGGGGTGGGAGGGACAGTGACGGGGACAGGAGACCAAGGACATAGCAGACTCTTGGGAAGAACTGGGCCTGAAGGGGACAGAAGGGGAATAAAGAAATGGAAAGGGGGACAGAGAAAGGCTGGGTTAGGATGTGCCGGCCACGCTTATTCTAGATAAATCACATGCTATTGATCCAGCCCCTGACTCCGATTGAACGATCCTCCATCATCCATTCTGGAGAGCAAAGCAGGTTCACAGGTCATCCACCTCCCTGACCCTCCTATGGCCCCTCTGCCCCCTGGGCCCATTGCACAGACTTCTGCCCTCTCCTACCAGGGGCCAGGCACAGCTAAGAAAAAGAAGAAAACACCCAAGTGAGGAGAAAGCTCCTGACTCTCAGGGGGAAGGCAGGGCCTCAAGCCTCCATGATGACGGGCCTCAGGTCAGGAGGGGCCTCTGGGGCCTGAGCTACCACCAGGCCAGGCAAGTGGAAGGGCAGGAGGGAGGGAGGGGGGAGGGGCCCTCTGCCGTCACAGGACAGCGCCCATCTTGCTTCTAGCCCTTGGAGTCTAAATGACCGTGAGCAAGTTGGGGAGCTTCCCTGGGCCTCAGTTTCCCCATTTATACAACAAAGGGCTGAGATCCCTCCCAGCTCTACCTCTGTGATCCTACGATCCTGTGACCTTGGGGGAGTCATTTTTTCTCTGGGCCTCAGTTTCCTCTGTAAAGTGCAAAGGTAGGGAGGGTTTGGACAGCACAACCTCAGGGGCTCCTTCCAGCTCTGCTACCCTGGAGAAAGTCTCTTAGCTTAGGCAAGTTACTGATTCTCTGAGCCTCAGTCTCTTCCCCTGTAAGATGGGGGTTGGGGGGAAGGAGGATTGGACTGCTCAATGGCCTCTGGGGCCCGTCCCAATTCTCAGTCATCCCAGAAACCTGAGAAGGCTCTAGAGGGGTCCTCAATCAGCACCACCAACAAAAGCCTCACACGCTCTATCCAGCCTGAGACCCAAGAACAGGCCCCAAGCAGCAGAAGCCCCCTGACAAAGAGCAAAGCTTCCTAAGGATAAGCCACTGTGGCCCAGCCTCCAGGCGGTCCGTGAGCCAGTGACCACCTGGCGCTCAGCAGGGCCCCTCTCTGGTACTTACTAGGGTCTTCCCATCGGAGGAGGTGCAGCTTCCAGGCGGCGTAGTACATGAAGCCCAGCACCAGGCAGAGGCACAGGGTGAGCAGCAGGTTCCGGACGAGCACCACCAGGCCCATCTTCATTGGCTACATGACCTACGAGAGACCAAACAGACGGGGCCTTGAGAGGTGGGCACTAAGTCTCACCAGCCCACTTTCCATAGACACGCAGGGCAGTGTGCCCTAGCCATGAGCTGGGGCCGAGCCTGGTACAATGGTCAGAGCAGAGCATAGGGAGTCCCTTCCCCTGCATGGGCTGCCTCCTTCTTCCTGAGAAAGTCAATCAATCAATCATGATAACTTTCAGACAACCACTCTCCCAAGCTGTTAAGAAAAAGGACATTTGCGGCATCAAAAACATTAGCAGTTAACTATCAGCTACAGACACTGCCTGTGTGAGTGGAGAGGAGGGGCGTGCACAAGAGAAGTTGTGAAGTCAGAAATGCCAGGACTGAAGAAACGATTCACATGGAGGATGAGAGAGAGGAGCAAGGATGACTCCCCGGGTGGGAGCCTGGGGAGTGGGAGGACAGTGGTGCCCTCCACAGTCATGGGGAAGTTAGGAAGAGAAGAGAGTTGGGGGGGGGGGAGATGATGAGTCATCAGATTGGGACATGTGGAGTTCATGATGTCTATGTGTCATTCAGTTTAGATGTTCAAAAGACCAGTTGGGGGCAGCTAGGTGGCGCAGTGGATAAGCTCTGGCCTTGGAGTCAGGAGGACCTGAGTTCAAATCTGGCCTCAGACACATGACACTTACTAGCTGTGTGACCCTGGGCAAGTCACTTAACCCCAAATGCCTCAACAAAAAGGCAAAAAAAAAAAAAAAAAAAAAGACAGTTGGAGATGCGAAACTGGAGGCCAGCATCAGAGAAGTTGGGGCTGGATAAGCAGACCTGAGAATCATCAGCCAAGACGTGATCATTGACTCCTTGGGAACTGATGAGATCACCAAGTAAAACAGAATAGACGGAGAACAGAAGGCCCAGGACAGAGTCCTGGGGGGTGCCCATAACTAGTGGCATGACCTGGATGACCTTGTACAGCAAGGAAGACAGAGAAGGAGCAGTCAGATAAGAGGAGAACTGGGAGAGGTAGGTGTCAGAAAAACAAGAAGAGGCTGATCAACAGTATCAAAGACTGCAGAGAGGTCAAGATGTAGGAGGATTGACACAAGTCCATTAGATTTGGCAAGTAAGAGATCACTGGATGAATGTAAAGGAATAATAACAATAATAATAATAACAGCTAACATTATATAGTGCTCACTATGTGCCAGGCACTCTGCTAAATGCCTTACAATTATTATCTCTCTTGATCCTCATGACAATACTAGGACATAGGTGATATTATTATCCCCACTTTACAGATGAGGAAACTGAGGCAAAGAGTTTAAATGACTTGCCCAAGGTCATATAGCTAGTGTCTAAGGCAGGATTTTAAAGTCAGGGCTTCCTGACTCCAGATTTAGCATTCTATCTGTTCAACCACCTAGCACCTCTTGCTAGATTCCACATAATGCTCTCTAGCCCATCATGACATTGTTCTTACAAGTTATCACTCTGTATTTATCCTCTGTGACCAGTTCTGGCTTCTATGATCTATATATTTCTTTTAAAAATCTCTGTGGCTGGGGGGGCAGGTAGGTGGCGCAGTGGATAGAGTACCGGGCCTGCGTTCAGGACGACCTGAGTTCAAATCTGGTCTCAGACATCTGACACTTACTAGCTGTGTGACCCTGGGCAAGTCACTTAACGCCATGGCAGCTCTCACACCAGAGGTGCTAGTCCTGCTAAACATCCCACACCAGGTGAAGTAGGATAGAGAGAGAAGAGAAGAGGACCCAGGACAGAACCTGAGGCACACCTATGGTTAGAGGGTGTGATCTACAGGATCCAGCCAAGGAGACAGAGAAGGATTGGTCAGAGAGGTAGGAGGAGAACAGGGGGGGGGGTGTCACCAAGACCTAGAGAGAAGAAAGTGTCCAGGAGGAGAAAGTGATCGACAGTGTCAAGGGTGTCAGAGAGGTCAAGGAGAATGAGGATGGAGAAAAGATCACTGGATTTGGCAGCTGGGAGATCCCTGGTAACTGGAGAGGGTAGCTTTAGTGGAATGATGAGGTCAGAAGCCAGATTGTAAGGGGTTAGGAAGGCAGTGAGAAGAGAGATAGGAGAAGCACCCATTGTAGATGACCCTTTTCAGGAACTTAGCTACAGAGGGCAGAAAAGACATGGATACTTAATACATGTTTGTTGACTGATCACTGACAGACCATATCACCAGCACTTTCCTTCTTCTGACCCTCATTCTCATCCTGATCTCCCATCCCTCCACCCCTCCACCCTCTCCCAGGCCACCATCATCCCTGCTCTGTTCATCTTCCCTCATCACTGCTACCCATCCCCCACCCCCCAGTCACTTCAGAAGCCACCCAGGGCTGCCCTGCCACCACCAGGGGGCAGCCTCCCCTCAGCCTCCTGCCCAGACCCGTCCCCACTGCTTGACAGATCATCTGGCTTGATCCAGATGGGAGTCTTCTGATGACGTGGAGGGCCACGAGGCCTTGCCATCTGCCCTGTCTCCACTTCCTGCAGACCTTTGGAACTGTCACCCAATCTACGGATGTAACCTAATGACCTGTAAGCCTTGCCATCGGCTACAGAGTATGAGCTCCTTGAGAACAGGCGCTGTCTTGCTGTGCAGCCCCAGCACTTGGCACATAATGAACACTTAATAAAGGCTTTTTCTTTCTTTCGTTCATTCATTCAATTGCTGCTCTTGCCATCCCACCTTCTAAACCCCAACCACTTCTGTCCATGTCTCAGGCTGTCGGCAGTCTCACCCCACCCCCCCAGCCCAGCCTGGGCCTGGCCGCTGCTCAGGGATGCCTGACCTCTATCCCCCTCCTTGGGCCACCTGTGCCCCTCCCCAGCGGCTCCCTCTCCGCAGAGGATTGGGACATTGAGGACATCGCCATGAAGCTGAAAGGCTCACAACCTCGGATTCATTCTCTCTTCCCCCCCTTTCCCAAGCAGTCGTCATGATCTGTTTTTTCTGCCTTTGTAACATCCCCCACACGTGGCCCCTTCTCTCCTCAGACACTTCAGCCCCCCAGGGCTGGGCCTCCTTACCTCACACTTGGACTATTGCAATGGCCCCCTTCACTGGTCTCTCTGCCTCCAGGCTCTTCCCTCCCTAGTTCATCCTCTACTCAGCCACTGAAGTGATATTCCTAAAGCACAAGTTTGGCCATGTCAGCCCTCAGCTCAAGAGGCTTCGATGGCACCCCACTGCATCTGGGATATAGCACAAATTCCCATATTTAGCGTTTAAAGTCTTAATAATCTGGCTCCAACCTAGCCATCCAGCAATGATGACACATCATTCACTATCACTTTCTCCACAGTCCAGTTGAACTGGCCCACAGACTTGTTCTCTGAACATGACATCTCATCTCCCACCTTCGAGGCTTTGCACAGGCTGGCCGCCATGCCTGGAACACTTCCCCTCCTCACTTAACACTCGTTGGAATCCATATCTACATTCAAGGTTGAACTCATCTGTCACCTTCCACAAGAGCCTTTGCCAATACCCCCAGGAGTCCCCGGTTAATAGGGTCCCCATCTCCAAATGACTTTGTCTTGACTTTGTAAGAGTTCTCTGCGTAAGTGTTATAGCCCCTCAGTTGAATTCAAGCTCTCAGAGGGCAGTTCTGCACTCAGAGACAGCACCTCCCACATCTCGTCCAATGCAGCACGTGTCCAATAAATTTTTGTAGAACCACACTCAGCTGTACTGCGAGCTGTGTGAGCCGTGCAGAACTGGGGGAGGGGCTCACTCTTCTAAGGAGCCAGCCCCAATAGAGGAGGCCCTGGAACAGAAAGCTGGCCAGGACTGACCATTCATGGACCAGGGGAGGGGAAATTGTGTCTTCCACCACAAATAAAGTTTGTCTTCTATGAGATGTTAGCACATCATGTGTGATTACATGAGAGCTGAGGATCCTTTTACCCACATATGGACCAAATTCTCAGAAAACCTGGGTGGAGGCATGAGGCCAAGAGGAGTCCCTGAAGACTGAAGCCAGGCTTTCAGTAACTGTGACAGGGCTGAAGATTCTGCTCAGTGCTCACGATGCCCCCGGCCCTGCCATAGGAATCACCAACTGGGACAGGATCAAACAGAAGGGAGGCTCCTACCTGCCCCTATTCCCACTGTCCCTCATGCCTGAACTGCTATCACTCCCTCACTCCCGGCTTCCTTCCAAAGCCCACTGCAGGCAGGAGGCCTTGACAACCCCATCCCCAGCTGCTAAGGCCTTCTCTGGGATTGCCCCAGCTCCATCTGCAATCCGCCCATTCACCCTGTATTCATGTCTGTAAGTTGTTTTTGCATGCTTCTTCCCCCTTTAGAAAGTGAGCTCCTTGAGGGCAGGGACCAAGTTTTTGTCTGTCTTTGTAGAGTTCAGCACAGTGCCTGGCACACAGTAAGTGGTTAATAAATGTTTGTTTACTATTGCTGCCTGACTAGCATTGTGGAAAAGCTCGGGAGATTTGAGCTTGCCCATGGGATCAGGATCCAGGACTTATCCTTAAGAGTTCACTGTCCATGCAGTAAGAGGTGTCCAATGGAGTGCCCAGGGGATCTAGGCTCGGCCCTGGACTGTTGAATATTCTTATCAATGATTTGGATAAAGACAGAAATGGCAGATGGCCAGCTGGAGAGGTCTACCTCAAATGCCCTGCTGGCACCTCAAGTTCCTCAGATCCAAACCTGAGCTCACTGGTGTCTCCTTAGAAATCCTGCCACAAGCCCTGCCCTTCCTCCCTCAGACACCCAGGGAAGCTCCACTCCTGCACCTGTAACGTTTGCAGCCCGCCACCCCACACCTACTGAGACACTCAGCCTCACCAGCTCCTCTCTGGTCGGCCCTTGGAACCACCCTCTCCACTCCTGGCCACAGTTCCGGTGTCCCACCTGCTCCCTGTGCCCGCTTCCATCCCCGCCACCTAATCCTGTCACTCCACTCAGACATCTTCTGTGGCTCCCCATTATGACCTGAACAAAATGGGCCTTGTACATATCATAAATGTGAG